TAACTTCATATTTTTTTTTTTTTTTTTTTGTTATCTTTTTGTGTGTGTTTTACGATATGTACTTTAAAATACCAATTGATATTTTTCCTGCTTTTACAAATCTCTATCTGCTGTTATACTAATTCTCTGTTTTATCATAATATATTATATTATATTATATTTTATTATATTTTAATTTATATTTCTTAACTTTAAAGTCTTAACTTTAAAGTCTTAACTTTCAATTATCTTTTCAACCATGTATTTCCAAAAAGGTATGTGTACGTGTATATCTCTAACTGAATCCACTTTCTACGTTGTGGCTGAGATGTAATGCACCTTACTAATGACCAATGACGTCTGGTGTAGAGCAGAACGGTATATACAACTCTGAACTATTATCTTTTACCGATGCTCTAGAAGATTCCAAAAACTTCAGAACGTAAGTTCCAGAGATATACCAGCAACCCTAACTATACCACGGACTTAAAGTGATTAAACCTATAGAATTTATTACAGAAATATATTATATGTACATGTATAGCATGTTTATTTATTTTACTTTGATTTTAGCTCCTTACTTATTTGATATACTGACATGTTTACGTTAATGAACAGTTGTGGTTTCTACCGGATTGCACGTTGACTCGACAGTTCAGTTCGATTTTAACGTAGGAGTCATTATACTATGGAGCTTGGCTAATGTAAGTGACGCTAAGACAAATTAACAGTCAGTATACGAATGATACAAGTCAATATAAAAGTCAATATAACAGGTATCACTGCGCGGAGCTGAGACAATGTGACAGACAATATAGTATGGAGCTAGGAAAAGCATCGAACGCCAAGTTTTAAATTGATGATCTTCCCTTTTATTACTCTTATGTATACAAACTTGTCTCCCCTTTTATTACTCTTATGTATACAACTTGTCTGCCCTTATATTACTCTTATGTATACAACTTGTCCTCCCTTTTATTACTCTTATGTATACACCTTGTCTCCCCTTTTATTACTCTTATGTATACAAACTTGTCTCCCCTTTTATTACTCTGATGTATACAACTTGTCTGCCCTTTTATTACTCTTATGTATACAACTTGTCTGCCCTTATATTACTCTTATGTATACAACTTGTCTTCCCTTTTATTACTCTTATGTATACAACTTGTCTTCCCTTTTAATACTCTTATGAAGTTATGTATACAACTTGTCTCCCCTTTTATTACTCTTATGTATACAATTTGTCTCCCCTTTTATTACTCCTATGTATACAACTTCATACCCCTTCTGAATCGTAATTTTCAAGGATAATCTACCAATCTACCAGGTCTGTATCACCGTTTCTAAGGATAACTGTCCAACATACCCGGTCTGTATCACCGTTTGTAAGGATTACTGTCCATTATATCCGGTCTGTATCACCGTTTGTAAGGATTACTGTCCTTTATATCCGGTCTGTATCACCGTTTGTAAGGATTACTGTCCAACATACCCGGTCTGTATCGCCGTTTGTAAGGATTACTGTCCATTATATCCGGTCTGTATAACCGGTTGTAAGGATTACTGTCCAACATATCCGGTCTGTATAACCGTTTGTAAGGATAACTGTCCATTATACCCGGTCTGTATCACCGGTTGTAAGGATAACTGTCCAACATACCCGGTCGGTATCACCGTTTGTAAGGATTACTGTCCATTATACCCGGTCTGTATCACCGTTTGTAAGGATAACTGTCCAACATACCCGGTCTGTATCACCGTTTGTAAGGATTACTGTCCATTATACCCGGTCTGTATCACCGTTTGTAAGGATTACTGTCCAACATACCCGGTCTGTATCACCGTTTGTAAGGATAACTGTCCATTATACCCGGTCTGTATCACCGTTTGTAAGGATTACTGTCCATTATACCCGGTCTGTATCACCGTTTGTAAGGATTACTGTCCAACATACCCGGTCTGTATCACCGTTTGTAAGGATAACTGTCCATTATACCCGATCTGTATCACCGTTTGTAAGGATTACTGTCCATTATACCCGGTCGGTATCACCGTTTGTAAGGATTACTGTCCATTATACCCGGTCTGTATCACCGGTTGCAAGGATAACTGTCCATTATACCCGATCTGTATCACCGGTTGTAAGGATAACTGTCCAACATACCCGGTCTGTATCACCGTTTGTAAGGATAACTGTCCAACATACCCGGTCTGTATAACCAGTTGTAAGGATAACTGTCCAACATACCCGGTCTGTATCACCGTTTATAAGGATGCTTGTCCAATTTACCCGTTATGAGCCAGATATTCCATTATCATATTTGGTATATGCAGTAACCTTAATTTCGTTTCGGATATAACTGTTACTCAGTTTGTTTCGTCTTTATTATTTGTTCATAACATCCCGCAAATTAAGAGATGGTTTTTTTTTTTTTTTTTAGATGATTTATCAAAGTCATTGTCATGTTAAAAGACGGTCACTCGAAATTGTGATTATAATAATTGATTTTTTATGTTTGAAACACTGCAGGCTATTTTCATTGAAATCTATACCGAACTACATACTCTATATATATTGGAATGTGTGCATAATTCCTCATGCATACATACCTCCTATATGCGAGCGGCCGCGGTGGCCAAATGGTTAAGGCGTCCGACATTCTGCTACCGCTAGCAGCACTACACCACTCGCGGGTTCGAGACCTACGTTGGTCGGTGGTTTTTCTCCGGGAACTCCGGCTTTCCTTCACCACTAAAACCTGGCACCTCCTTAAAGACCATAGCTGTTAATAGGACGTAAAACACATTTTTCCTTTTTTAAATCTATGTGCGAAACACTGTCAAGCGAATACTTAAATCAGTAATTTGTTACTTCCCTGCAGGTAGGGCGTAAGAATTGTACCTGCATGATCGTAAGACGCGACTAAATTTGGAATCTTTTCATTTCTCTTCTTTCTAAACATCGTTCTTCTTCCTAATGACTCTCATGACAATGCCTGACTTTTGCCCTGCAATTAAACATTCGCCCCTGTGAGGAAGGCTTTTGGTTCTGTCCCCTGGCCGAAACATACCAGAGTATGTAAAAAAAGGTAGTTTCTACTTCTGCTTAATGTGACCGGATCGGTTGTCCTGCTTGGTGTCTTCGGCAGTATGTGTCAGTGAGGTAGCACTATAAAGTTGGCATCAGTTCCGCGCTATCACAAGGAGACTAACACGAACATATCGCATCCTCCCAAAACACACACGCATACACTACACGCATGCATCTTGCACACAGAGGAGGCCGTCTTTAAATGACCATAGCTGTTGTAGGACTTTAAACAATACAAAACCAACCTAAATCAAACCAGTAATTTGCAACACAGATTTAGTCACATGTAACCAGAGACTGTAGCAATCAAAATCTGGGATATAACACCATGACTGTATGTGTATGATAGACTATAGTATCACTATAGTTATTGTCGAAAGTCATTGATCAAAATTTGAATTAAGTTCGATCTGACGATTTTATGATTCTGTTAAATAAATATGAGCACGCGTTCTCTCAATTTTTTTTTGCATTTGTTTGTACAAAAAAAATATCAATAAAAACAATTAGCAAGATGATGTTAACTTGAGATTGATTCGTGACTGTCCAATGTCTACTTTCGCTTCATACACTGTAATTGTTCTGAACAAAATGGGATCACGAGTTTTGTCGTGAAAAGTGATCCCTCGTTATGTTGTTACAGTGGTTTCTTTTTATACTGTAGCAGTGGTCCCTCCTTATACTGTAACAGTGGTACCTCCTTATACTGTAACAGTGGTCCCTCCTTATAATGTAGCAGTGGTCCCTCCTTATACTGTAACAGTGGTCCCTCGTTATACTGTAACAGTGGTCCCTCGTTCCCTCGTTATACTGTTACAGTGGTCACTTATTATTCTGTAACAGTGGTCCCTCCTTATACTGTAACAGTAGTCCCCCGTTACACTGATGCAGTGGTCCCTCGTTATACTGTAACAGTGGTCCCTCGTTGTACTGTCGCAGTGGTCCCTCGTTGTACTGTTACATTTTCCCCTCTTTATACTGTTACAGTGGTCACTTATTATGGTGTAACAGTGGTCCCTCCTTATACTGTAACAGTGGGACCTCCTTATACTGTAACAGTGGTCCCTCGTTATAGTGTAATAGTGGTCCCTCGTTATCCTGTAACAGTGGTCCCTCGTTATACTGTTACAGTGGGCCCTTATTATGCTGTAACAGTGGTCCCTCCTTATACTGTAACAGTAGTCCCCCGTTACACTGATGCAGTGGTCCCTCGTTATACTGTAACAGTAGTCCCTCGATATACTGTTACAGTGGTCACTTATTATGCTGTAACAGTGGACCCTCCTTATACTGTAGCAGTGGTCCCTCCTGATATTGTAGCAGTGGTCCCTCGTAGTACTGTTACATTGTCCCCTCGTTATACTGTAACATCTGGCCCTCGTTATACTGTTACAATGGAACATCTTTATACTGTAACAGTAGTCACTCCTTATACTGTAACAGTGGTCCCTCGTTGTACTGTCGCAGTGGTCCCTCGTTGTACTGTTACATTTTCCCCTCTTTATACTGTTACAGTGGTCACTTATTATGCTCTAACAGTGGTCCCTCCTTATACTGTAACAGTAGTCCCCCGTTACACTGATGCAGTGGTCCCTCGTTATACTGTAACAGTAGTCCCTCGATATACTGTTACAGTGGTCACTTATTATGCTCTAACAGTGGTCCCTCCTTATACTGTAACAGTGGTCCCTCCTTATACTGTAACAGTAGTCCCCCGTTACACTGATGCAGTGGTCCCTCGTTATACTGTAACAGTGGTCCCTCGTTCCCTCGTTATACTGTTACAGTGGTCACTTATTATGCTCTAACAGTGGTCCCTCCTTATACTGTAACAGTAGTCCCCCGTTACACTGAACCAGTGGTCCCTCGTTATACTGTAACAGTAGTACCTCGTTATACTGTTACAGTGGTCACTTATTATGGTGTAACAGTGGTCCCTCCTTATACTGTAACAGTAGTCCCCCGTTACACTGAACCAGTGGTCCCTCGTTATACTGTAACAGTAGTCCCTCGATATACTGTTACAGTGGTCACTTATTATGCTGTAACAGTGGACCCTCCTTATACTGTAGCAGTGGTCCCTCCTGATATTGTAGCAGTGGTCCCTCGTAGTACTGTTACATTGTCCCCTCGTTATACTGTTACAGTGCTCACTTATTATGCTGTAACAGTGGTCCCTCGTTATACTGTAGCAGGGGTCCCTCCTTATACTGTAGCAGTGGTCCCTCCTGATATTGTAGCAGTGGTCCCTCGTAGTACTGTTACATTGTCCCCTCGTTATACTGTAACATCGGTCCCTCGTTATACTGTTACAATGGTACATCTTTATACTGTAACAGTAGTCCCTCCTTATACTGTAACAGTGGTCCCTCGTTGTACTGTAGCAGTGGTCCCTCGTTGTACTGTTACATTGTCCCCTCGTTATACTGTAACATCGGTCCCTCGTTATACTGTTACAATGGTACATCTTTATACTGAACCAGTGGTCCCTCGTTATACTGTAGCAGAGGTCCCTCCTTATACTGTAGCAGTGGTCCCTCCTGATATTGTAGCAGTGGTCCCTCGTAGTACTGTTACATTGTCCCCTCGTTATACTGTTACAGTGGTCACTTATTATGCTGTAACAGTGGTCCCTCGTTGTACTGTTACATTTTCCCCTCGTTATACTGTTTCAGTGGTCACTTATTATGCTGTAACGGAGGTCCCTCGTTATACTGTAGCAGTGGTCCCTTGTTATACTGTAACAGTGGCCCCTCGTTATACTGTTACAGTGGTTCCTCGTTTTACTGTAACAGTGGTTCCTCGTTATACTGTTACAGTTGTCACTTATTATGCTGTAACACTGGTCCCTCCTTATACTGTAACATTGGTCCCTCGTTATACTGTTACAGTGGTCACTTATTATGCTGTAACGGTGGTCCCTCGTTATACTGTAACAATGGTCCCTCGTTGTACTGTTACATTGGTCACTTATTATACTGTAACAAGGGTCCCTCCTTATACTGTAACAGTGGTCCCTCGTTGTACTGTTACATTGTCCCCTCGTTATACTGTACCATCGGTCCCTCGTTATACTGTTACAATGGTACATCTTTATACTGAACCAGTGGTCCCTCGTTATGCTGTAACAGCAGTCCCTTATTATGCTGTAACAGTGGTTCCTCGTTATACTGTAACAGTGGTTCCTCGTTTTACTGTAACAGTGGTTCCTCGTTATACTGTTACAGTGGTCCCTCGTTATACTGTTACAGTGGTCCCTTATTATGCTGTAACAGTGGTCCCTCGTTATACTGTAACAGTGGTCCCTCGTTATACTGTTACAGTGGTCCCTCGTTATAATGTTATAGTGGCCATCGTTATAATATAACAGTAGCCCCTCGTTATACTGTAACAGTGGTCCCTCGTTATACTGTAACAGTGGTCCCTCGTTGTACTGTTACATTGTCCCCTCGTTATACTGTAACAGTGGTCCCTCGTTATACTGTTACAGTGGTCCCTCGTTATAATGTAACAGTAGCCCTTCGTTATACTCTAACAGTGGCCCCTCGTTATACTGTAACAGTGGTCCCTCGTTATACTGTTACAGTGGTCCCTTATTATGCTGTTACAGCAGTCCCTTATTATGCTGTAACAGTGGTCCCTTGTTATACTGTAACAGTGGCCCCTCGTTATACTGTTACAGTGGTCCCTCGTTATAATGTAACAGTGGCCCTCGTTATAATGTAACAGTAGCCCCTCGTTATACTGTAACAGTGGTCCCTGGTTATACTGTAACAGTGGTCCCTCGTTATAGTGTAATAGTGGTCCCTCGTTATACTGTAACAGTGGTCCCTCGCTATACTGTAATATGATGTTTAGCTGTCCCTCGTGTTACAGTAATACTCTCTTTCTTCATACGAAATATGATCATGACAAGGAAATGATGATTTTGATTGATAAGCCTTAAAGCAGTCTGAGACGACGAGTACGACACCACACCTTCGGATGGCAGCCTCTGTATCGTTTGTCTTAATAAGACAAGGTGACGCAGGTATAGTCAACGATTTTATGGCAAATCGAAATTATGTTCCGCTGATTGCAACAAAAATAGATATGGATTGCTGTTTTACGAGCACTTCTATCATTGTACATGTAATTCTATGGGTTAACGTGTTGAAGGACGGTCTTTACAGAGATCGCTCGTCTAATACTGTTATGAATTATGGCCATACACGGGCTTACGTGTCCGGAGGTTTTAAATATAGCTGGAGGTTGTTTTTTTCTTGTCTGATCAGATATTTATTTTGTACATTTGTCTAGAAGATAAGCACATATAAAACAGAAAAGAAATATGTGAAATCGTTACAGATCGTTAATAAAGCTTTATTTCAGTGGCAGGGCTATTTATTCTCGGATTTCCTTTTCCGTTGAATCATAATTTCAGTTAGGGCTGAGCCAAAGTATCACAGATATAATAGGTATTAAAAAGCAAAACGTATTCAAAATTACATTTCCTTTTTACATGTTTACTTTAATTTTCATATTTGTTAAACACTGTTTATAATTTTCCTATGGAGGATCATTGCCTTCCTTACCTAGAATACAGGGCTTTGAACGTATTTTGTGCGAAAGCTGATGGATTGGCGTGTTTAGACGTAGTAACGTAGTGTAGGTGATAGCAGGTCGGGGTGACTGTGTATCCGGCCTAGTATAGGTCACAACTCTCACTAGGGGTCGACCATTACACACAAATATTACATGATTACTGCTGTATTTGTGGATTGTCCGGTCACTATTACCTGTGGAATATTCAGTTATGTAGTAAATTACCATAAACATTACAGGCCGAGATAACATTGATATGCAACTTCTATTTTACGACAGTTTTATGAATGAAAACATGTTGAATAAAACATTTTTTATCGAAATGAATAAAACAAAACCGAACTTTTACAGATCTATAAACGGTAGTCTATAGGTAACAGAACACTCTAGTCACGTGACAATCGACTGCATGCTAGTGATGGTTTATGCAAAGCTGGCATGCCTGTGTTTGGTTTCCAGTTTCGTAAATAATTGTCTATTGCCAAAAATAACAAAAACAAAAACAACAATTTCTCCGGAAATTAAGCAGGCATGTGGTCTTACACCACTGTTACCAAAAATGGGTCCGTGTGAAACGCCGTTTCCAGCGTAATTTGTTGATATTAAATATTGTAAATATGATTAAATAGTCCAAATATTCTTTCTCACGTATTCTGAAATGCGAAATATATGGTGAGGAATAATAATGTATTGTTTCGTCAATCATACTGACAAATTGTTGCATATTGTACCAGCTGACTTTGCATCACAGACGTATCATGACCTGAAATGTTACAACTTCCAGTTCACAGCTATCTCCATCCGTGACTGCTGCACTGGTTCACAGCCATCTCCATTAATTACTGTGTAGTTCATACCCGTCTCCATTAGTAACTGTGTGTAGTTCATACCTGTCTCCATTGATAACTGTCTGTAGTTCTTAACTGTCTTCATTAGTAACTGTGTAGTTCATACCCGTCTCCATTGGTAACTGTGTGAGGTCCATACCTGTCTCCATTTGTAACTGTCTGTAGTTCTTAACTGTCTTCATTAGTAACTGTACATATGTATAGTTTATTTCCGTCTCTATTGGTAACTGTTTGCAATTCACACCCGTCTCCATTGGTACCTGTCTCTAGCTCACACTCGTCTCCATTAACCATTGTAACTGTATATAATTTGTAGCCATTTTACCGTTAACTGCCACAGCCCACATCAATATCCAACATCGCTTGTTCGTAGTGTTCATCATGTCGCCAACGAGTGTTTTTATTTTTTATTTTAATTACATAAATGTTTTTTGTTGCTGTCTTTGTAGATACCTTAGTTGTCCCGACTCCATCAAAAACGGCTTCATGTTTGAGAGACAACCCCTTTGCCTCCCAGATGATGCATCTCCTCCGGGAAACAATTTCCTCCTATACGCAGGACCGGAAACTAGCCATGGAGAATCAGAAATTGATTCGCCGCATTGGCAAACGGGGCCGGGGCCGCTGCCAATTCAACAACCCTGGCGGCATATGCGTTACAAAATCAGGTAAACCCCTTAGATTCTCCTTTTTTTCAATTTTAATAACCATACAATATTTCGAATAATATACATTGCGACGCACTGTTTTAATAGTTCCTTCACCTTAACATTATTTGGTCTCATATAGAATTATCTAGAAATTCAGGATTATTGGTTTTTCACTTACTGTTTATTAAATATATTTAACGTAATAAGGGTATGATTTCGCATTAATTGAGAGGCTCATAAAAACTAGATGAATACAAAATAATTCCGTATATCGATACAAATATAAGTGCTTTAGAAATAGAACGTGTTAAAATCATTGAAATCATTGAGTTGAAACATTTATAGCAGTACATTTGTTCCTGATCTCAATAACAGGCGGAGTACCGGTGATGAGATTGTACAAGTCACGTGACTATCAGTATAACGAGATTACGGGGCGGGTAAACTGATCTGACGGAATTGTGTCTGCTGATGTGTCCAAGGGTCAAAGGGCAGGGATGGGGCTCAAAAGGAGGCTTCATGATAATATATTGAAATATTTGAAAAGAGAGGGAAAGAAAATAGCCAAAGGGGAATTGTGTACCGTCATACAAATGGAACCAAATCACAAGAAGCATAATATAAGCTCGTATGCAGTAAGATTACTGGATTGTGATAGTAGTCCATAATTAAAAACATCGATTTTCTATGACTACATGCGGTAATGTGATAAATGTTTATAATGGAAGTGAATCAGGAAGCCCCCTATGACCATCCAACATGGCTGTAGACTTGTTAATTCCGTCGTACCGGTAAGCTATAGGGTTATTGAAGGTGGTCTTATCCCCAGGGAAATGCTTTCTTTTACAGGCGATATCGTCATAGCTGATACTGACAATCACCGGATACAGGTTTTCACAAGTGAAGGAATCTTTAAATCAAATTTCGGGACCCGCGGATGCAAAGTGGACCAGATCAATTTTCCTATGTGTGTTGCCATGACAACAGACGGACATGTGGCCTTAACAGACAGTGTAAACGCATGCGTGAAGATATTTTCTCTCCAGGGTCAGCTAGTGCAGATGATTGGGGACAACGAGATTTTCGATATCCCGTATGGCCTTGATATTTCTAAGGATGGCGACCTCGCCGTTACAGACATCTGTAAACACTGTGTGACGGTATTCCGGAAGGATGGATCCGTCATTCACGGGTTTGGAGAGTACGGAAATGATCACTATGAGTTCGATTATCCGTATTTCGTGTGCTTCGACAAAGACAAACACATCATCGTATCTGATTCCGGGAACAGCTGCATCAAAATATTCTCGTTCGAAGGAAGAGGTTTAAGAACTTTTAAACAAAATGATTTTAAACTCATGAATGAAAGTTTTGTGTCATTACAGGGAATGTGTGTGGACGCGGATGGAAACATCCTTGTGATATGTAATTCGACTGTGTATCTGCTAGCGCGGAACGGGCGGTTATGGGAGGTCCTGACGTCAAAGGACGGGCTGACCAATCCTAGGTGTTTGGCGTTTGCAGCCCCCGGACGATTAGTCCTGACAAACTACGACACGGATAAAAAGCACGAGATTTGCATCTATAAATACCACTATGATGATTACAAGTCGGTCAACTCAGTGCAGTTCTATGCAATTAATGTTTGAAGAATATTTTTCTCATTGTGTTCTTACCATGGTTACGGGAGAGAGAGAGCCAGTGTGTTGGCGAATGTCTTCCAATGACGCGCGGTATCACTGGCCCCTATACCGGAAGTGCATGCTGGTAAAGTCATCCACGGGATATCAAAGGATCAATTTAAGTTATATGGACATAATCACAATGATGTTCTAAATAAACTGTACTGATCCTTGTTGTGTCAATTTGCATGAGTGTGCAACTTTGGTGCAAAGTTATATGTTTTGTATCTCACAATCTACTGCTAAAACAGTTTTTGCCATTTCATGTGCACAGAAGTGATGCTTTCATTGAAGCAGGTAGAACCAATGTTGCTTTTTAACTTTGTAATACGATGGACAAGCGCATCCATGACAGATTTACTTCCGGTATACGGCCCAGTGAAATTATCGCTGTTCGTTTTACCCCAATTTAAAAATGGACTCAATAACTCTACCGATCAGACAAGTCCACTTTTAATAATAGGGGGTTAGAATGGTTATGTCAATCAAACAAAAACACATTTGATACACTTGGACTTACGACACATGTGCACGCGCTTTTGAACGGGAGTGGTACGCCGTGGCTTACTATGCATTCAGTGATACAATGCATGTAGCTAGTAATTTGCATGTAGCTAGAAAGGTAGTCGAGGGCGTGAGTGTGCGAATGTTTGGTGAGCATTTCAATCGATAAGCTAAATATCTATCTGTTCATACTAAGATATTTCACCATAAATAAGATACAAAGTTACCATACCATTACAAGGTATTCTTTGAGCGGTCAATATTTCATTCAAACCACCATAAAACTCTAGTTGATAAGAACCCGTACCCTCCCCTTATTATTTACAATACATCGAACCCTTATTCTGATGAAACATAATAGACTCGTTCTGTTTCTTGCTAACTTTTTTATCATTCCTGATTATTTATTTAATATACAATATGCAATACTGTGTTACTTATTCCTAAAATTAAAAAACCCCAACGAAAATAGCCTATCTTAAAGAACAACGTTTGATATGAAATTCCTTCATAAACATTACGATTATTTATTTTTTCATTTAAAGTAACAAAAAATACTTTTTTAGAACAGCAATCTTTACATAATACTATCCCAATTATTTTACGGAACGAACGTTCATCTTCAAGGACACAATGGACAAAACACCCATCTACAAGGTCCATACTCATCTCTCCAAACAAACACACAATGGACCAGACATTCATTTTCAAGGTCCATATTCTACTCTCCAAAGAAACACACAATGGACCAGACATTCATCTTCAAGATCCATATTCTACTCTCCAAACAAACACACAATATACCAGACATTCATACTCATCTTTCCAAACAAACACATAATGGACCAGACATTCATCTACAAGGTCCATATTTTACTCTTCGACAAACACACAATGGACCAGGCATTCATCTACAAGGTCCATACTCTACTCTCCAAACAAACACACAATAAACCAGACATTCATCTACCAAGTCCCTATTCAACTCTCCAAACAAACAAACAATGAACCAGACATTCATCTACAAGGCCCATATTTTACTCTCCAAACAAACAGGCAATGGACCAGACATTCATCTTCAAGGTCCATAATCTTCTCTCCAAACAAACGCACAATGGACCAGACATTCATCTATAAAGTCCCTATTCAACTCTCCAAACAAACAAACAATGAACCAGACTTTCATCTACAAGGCCCATATTTTACTCTCCAAACAAACAGGCAATGGACCAGACATTCATCTTCAAGGTCCAAATTCTACTCTCCAAACAGACACAAAATGGACCAGACATGCATCTACCAAGTCCCTATTCAACTCTCCAAACAAACAAACAATGAACCAGACATTCATCTACAAGGCCCATATTTTACTCTCCAAACAAACAGGCAATGGACCAGACATTCATGTTCAAGGTCAATAATCTTCTCTCCAAACAAACGCACAATGTACCAGACATTCATCTACCAAGTCCCTATTCAACTCTCCAAACAAACAAACAACGAACCAGACATTCATCTACAAGGCCCATATTCTACTCTCCAAACAAACACACAATGGACCAGACATTCATCAAAAAGGCCCATATTCTACTCTCCAAACAAACACACAATGGACCAGACCTTCATCTACAAGGCCCATATTCTACTCTCCAAACAAACACACAATGGGCTAAACATTCTTCTACAATGTCCCTATGACAAACACGTGACTCTATTTAACATCACTTAACGTACATATTTAGTGGTTAATATCTAGCTGTTATCTATATATATCTCTAGTGCTATATCATGTTTTATCGAACTTCGAAATTGTCACCGTGCCTCGAAAATATTCTTTCGCCAATATAAATCACTTGATTAACACTTACAAATATGGACCGAATTGATGACAGATGATTTTAATTATAACTATATTTAATGAAATCTAGTAATGAAATAAAAAGAACACGTTTCAGTGCAATTCTAGTCTACAAAGGTTATCACACGAACGCGAAAGAGTAATTACTGAAGAAACAAAATGTGAGAATGTGAACCTATAGAATTACTCCATTCCACCACGCTGTTGTTTTGTCTTACGAATTGTCGGGGAATAAAAAAACCAGTTCTCAATGGCACAAACAATAACGTATGATAACTGTGCGAACGAAGGAAGTCGAAAAGTATCGATTGACGGGCTTTTTGTACTCCATGACGTCAATGTGTAGGCGTAAAAGGCTCTGCCAATCAGCATTGCTGTATCAACGTAGTGTTCGGTTTCAAATCAGATCAAGACAAGCAGCGTGGGCGAGACTTTATGGTAATAGGACTGTAGTGTTCTCCGATGAAACATTATCTATACCCTCTGTTTACAGTTATAACGAATGTTTGGATAAATTCAAAATTTTATCGTGAAATAATCCTCCAGAGATTTTGAGCGATAAAGTATTTGTTATCTATCTTTAATAACACTTTTGTACACCAGTAGTGGTAGGGAGTTTTGCCTTCGAAGCTTGTGTCATGTGTAACCTCGATCAATACAAGCGTTCGTTCTAAGCAAATGGAGAACCCGTAGTCACAATTTTCTATTTGTGATCGAAATGTATTTCCTTATCGATCGATCTATGCAATAAAGAAACACAGCATATGTCACATAAACAAATCCACAGATAAATAATAATGAACCATCCGATGAATTATTTACAAGCTTTATTAGTACACTGTTTCCAGTCGTCAGTCATGTGTGACAGGTCACAACAATGACACGGCTTATCCCTGACCAACCAACAGCACCTCAACTAGTACCTCTACAGTAACTAACGCCACCTCCTTCACTAGAACTACAATCTACCTCTGTCACAACAAACACCATCTCCATCATCAACAACCAATACAACTTCCGTCACCACAACAACCAACACTACTTCTGTCACCACAACAACCAACACTACTTCTGTCACCACAGCAACCAACACTACTTCTGTCACCACAGCAACCAACACTACTTCTGTCACCACAGCAACCAACACTACTTCTGTCACCACAGCAACTAACCCCACTTCTGTCACCACAGCAACCGACACCAATTTTGTCCCCACAGCAGCCAACCCACCTCCGTTACCACAATAACCAACACCATATCCTGTCCCCACAACCGCCACCGCCCCTTCTGGCATCATTGTTACAAACATCACCTGCATCCACCAATAAACTATTCCACTTCCGTCATCACAGTACAAAATATCTGTTACCACAGAAACAAGCAATGCATTTATAACTACAGAAACCAACACCACCTTTGTAACTACAGAAACCAACAACGCATTTGTAACTACAGAAACCAACACCACCTTTGTAACTACAGAAATCAACAATGCATTTATAACTACAGAAACCAACACCACCTTTGTAACTACAGAAATCAACAACGCATTTATAACTACAGAAACCACCACCTTTGTAACTACAGAAATCAACAACGCATTTGTAACTACAGAAACCAACACCACCTTTGTAACTACAGAAATCAACAACGCATTTATGACTACAGAAACCACCACCTTTGTAACTACAGAAATCATCAACGCATTTGTAACTACAGAAACAACACCACCTATGTAACTACAGAAATCAACAATGCATTTATAACTACAGAAACCAACACCCCCTTTGTAACTACAGAAATCAACAACGCATTTATAACTACAGAAACCACCACAGTTGTAACTACAGAAATCAACAACGCATTTGTAACTACAGAAACAACACCACCTATGTAACTACAGAAATCAACAATGCATTTATAACTACAGAAACCAACACCCCCTTTGTAACTACAGAAATCAACAACGCATTTGTAACTACAGAAACCAACACCACCTTTATAACTACAGAAACCAACAATACATTTGTACCTCCAGAAACCAACAATACATTTGTACCTAAAGAAACCAACAATACATTTGTACCTACAGAAACCACCAATACATTTGTACCTACAGAAACCAACAATACATATGTAACTTCAGAAACAAACACCACCTTTATAACTACAGAAACCAACAATACATTTGTATCTACTGAAACCAACACCACCTTTATAACTACAGAAACCAACAATACATTTGTACCTCCAGAAACCAACAATACATTTGTACCTACAGAAACCACCAATACATTTGTACCTACAGAAACCAACAATACATTTGTACCTCCAGAAACCAACAATACATTTGTACCTAAAGAAACCAACAATACATTTGTACCTACAGAAACCACCAATACATTTGTACCTACAGAAACCAACAATACATATGTAACTTCAGAAACAAACACCACCTTTATAACTACAGAAACCAACAATACATTTGTAACTACTGAAACCAACACCACCTTTATAACTACAGAAACCAACAATGCATTTGTACCTACAGAAACCAACAATACATTTATAACCACAGAAACCAACAATACATTTGTAACTACAGAAACCAACACCACCTCCCCACCAGAATCACCCACTCCACCTTCATCATCCAACAATACAGTTACTATAGCTATCCATATCGATTGCTAATCATCTGCAGTTAAGTTGTTTCATGTCTATACTCTAACAAACTGACAAATTTCTTATCCTAAATTATAAGTCTAAAGTCGATGTAAGGAAGGATATGTACACACGGAGTCTCGGTGAATTGCACTCACGCTAGAGCTAGCTTTGTAGACGATGAATTGTATTACGCGCTCAAGAGACGTACTGCTTGCAACGTATGCAGCTTATCATAGCATATGACGTCTTTTATTACGTGTGAGCGAGTGTGTGGTATTATGGTATTTTACAATAGTGTTTTGAAACTAGCAATAAAAGTGTGAAATGTGTGTAGCTTGTATGGGGATAAAAATACCCGTGTGATATAAGGCCTTCTGGAAGGCTTAAGTCATGAAAGTGATATATCGTCAATTTACGAAGTTCAAAGTATTCTTAGATGAATGACTGGACGATTCCCGGTTACCTACATTGCTCCGTGATCAAAAGGGTGTGCACTTTCAATGAAGCCTATACATATGTCAATATTCCTGGCAGTGGTACATATACGAAAAATATTAGTAATTTCGTATTTTCTTAGTAGCGCCGTAGAAGAAGTCCTATAAAATGGAAACTATTAAACGTCTTTCATGGACGACTCTACAACAGGTAAAATAAATAAATTCTGGTTACTCAAAGCTTTAATTCCTGATACCATTTATTTACTTTCATTCCTGTTTAACATATATGAACCAATTATAATCTGAAAGTGTTTGACCAAATACAGACACATCCATAATGATAACACTGCCAGGAATACCAACACAACGAATACAAGTAATCTTTCAAAATAAGACTCAAGAAATACCTTATTTTGTATATGTCATAACATGGTCCCTAGGGTAAAATAGGTCAAACTCAATATGGTGTATAATGTCTTAACTTGATATTTGAGTAGCAGAACATGCCGCATATTATTTGAGATTTTTTACAAATTTATTTTCTTGTATTTTTTTCATTTTTCAGGCAAGTAACTAAACAACTATCTTTCAAATGTAAAGAAATATAAACAATTTTCCCTTCCTGGATTGTTATATCTGCTAGGTGGTATTACGTCCTGTGTATCCTAGGAGGTAATATTATACATTCCCTACACAAATAACGGTAATCATCATGTCGCTTAGAGTTAATGTCGAACACAATTACAACGTACAAGTCTGAGAGCTCATTCAAACTCTTGGACAGGAAATTGAGTCTGTGGCAGGGGCTGCCTCCATTTCAGACGGTTGGGTCGCTGTCAGAGGGTTGGGTCGCTGTCAGGGGGTTGGGTCGCTGTCAGAGGAGTTCACTCTTACTAACGTGTCAGGGACTGAGTACAGGGACTGAGTATATGTCAGACGGTTGGGTCGATGTCAGAGGATGTGACTCTTACTAAAGGAATTGACTCCGTGTCAGGGACTGAGTATATGTCAGTGGGTCGAGTCTCTATCAGAGGAGTTGACTCTTATTAAAGGAATTGACTCCGTGTCAAGGACTGAGTACAGGGACTGAGTATATGTCAGAGGGTCGAGTCTCTATCAGA